GAGGGGAGGGGAAGGATGGATAAAGGAGAGGAGAGCTGTGAAGTCCCCCTGGAAAGTCCCTCCTGTCCCGGACTCTTCTGTGCTCTGACAGACACAACCTCTGCCTTCCCAGCAGCAAAAGTTTCCGTCCCCCCGTTCCCAGGGGCAGCTCCAGCGGCGTTTCCTGAAGAGRATCCCCATCCCCATCCCCATCCCYGTGCTGTGKGGGCAGTAAAGGCCGAGCTCAGGTTTTGGGGCTGTTTGGGCACAGCTCTGTGTCCTTGGGGCTTGTCCCAGTTTGATGGCAAACTATATTTGCATTTTATTACAGCCCAGATGAAGTGAGAAGAAAAACAGGGAGAGATTGGAGAGTTTCTGGTCGTTGCCTCCTCCCCGAGGTGCTCCAGTTTCTCTGGGAATGACCCTGCTGTCCCCAAGCAGCTTTGGCTGGAGGGATCCTGGGGGTGTCGAGGCCCCAGCACCATCCTGGGGACCCCACACGGGACCCCCCTGACACCACTTGTGCTGCCCAAGCTGGGCTGGAGCCCCCAGCWGCCCTCCCAGCCTCAGTGGTGTCGGCTGTGGGAGGCAGACAGGAACGCAGAGCTTTGGATTTGTGGATTTGGGTTTGGTCTTAGGACTTGGTCCCTTCCTGGCCCACAACCTCCAGCCCCAGCTGAGCTCTCCCCCAGCGCATCCCCACCATCTCAGGGGCAATTGGGGGGCTCCTAAAACCCCCTGCAAACACAAGCCTGAGTTCAGCTCTACTTTTTTGCTGGGAAAAACAGGAATTGGCCGTTCCCTGAGTGATGCATTTCTGAAATAAGCTGTTCCAGCTACAACTCCCCTACCAAGACGTTGCTTTAGGAACAGCTTAAACCAACGGTGGGGTGGGCAGGGGGCACGCAGGGCTGCCAGGATGGGAAGGACCTCACCAATCTCCCTGTTCTGGCCGGACAGAGCAACATGAGCACGTTCCTGTTTGCTCTGCCCACCTGGAACTGGGCTGGCCAGGCGTGTCTGGAGGAAGCGCTTCCCCTCTGCAGCTGGTTTGCATTCAGATTGCTCCCAGCTCCCTCCTTCACAGCTCTCCCGCTGTGCCCCAGCAGCCCGGATTTATTAGTACAAATTGGAGCTAAAAGGCGGATTTCAGCGGGGTGGGATGGAATCAGGGGTGTTTTTGTGTAAGCGAGTGCTGCTTCATCTCTTGGGCATCATCTCCCTTCTCTGCCAGAAAAGCATTCAAAAACAAAAACGGGAGGGTCCGAGGCCAGGAAGGTCGGAGAAGACCCCACAGCCGCTACAGCCCTTCCYGTGCCGAGGTGCTGGGCCTGGCACTGTCCCGTGGGGTGGCACTTTGGTACTGTTGTGCTGCGTGCTCTCACCGGGGCGATGCCCTGGGGCTGGGCACGGCGTTCTCTTCTCTGGGGAGAGGATAATTACTGCTAATGAGTGGTTTTGGTGCCTGCCGGGGGAGTGCGTGTGTGCAATTAGGGCCGCGCTGGGAGAGCCCAAACCGGGACTGGAGGGGTAGAGCTGTCCCCACTGCCCTGTGGACCGGGATGGGGACGGGCAGCTGCCCTGCGGGCGAATCCGTGCTATCGGATCCCTGCCGGCTCTCCCGATGCCGGTGGAGCCCGGGGCTGCCCGGCTGGCAGGTCCTCGCTCCGGTGCCAGCATTCCGAGCTGCCTCACTGAGATGGTTCCGCACTCTTGGTGCTCCTGCCGTGGGGATGGAGATGCCAGCCGTGGTGTCTGAACGGCAAATCTGCCCTCTGGCCCTGAATGGGGGGCTCGGGGCAGACCCCAGGCTCCTGCGGCCGTGGAGCCCCTCAGGCAGGGCTGAGGGACAGGGTGGGATGCTCCCTCCCTCCGCCGTGACGCGCCCCGCTGTCTCTTGGCACAGACCTGCGCCCGCTGGACATGCTGTCGGAGGCGGTGCCGGCCGCGGGGCTGGCCCGGGGCATGCGGGTGTTGCAGGTGCAGGGCGTGCGCGGCTTCCAGCTCTCCGCATCGCGGCCCCGCGCCCTGGGCTTCCCCGCCTCGCGGCTCTTCATCCACTGCGACCGCTTTCCCGAGGAGTTCTCCATCATCGCCACGCTGCGGGCGCTCCGCGGCCCCGCCAAGGTGAGCGCGGGCACGGCGCGGGCAGGGCGCGGGCACGGCGCGGCCCCGCCGGTGTGACCCGTGTCCTCCCGCAGAGGAACGAGTACATCTTCACGCTGATGGGGGACGAGAGCCCCGGCGTGCTGCTGGGGCTGCGCTACGCTCCCGACAAGCTGCACTTCCTCTTCTGGAGCCCCGAGCGCGCCGGCGGCTGGCAGACCCGCGTCACCTTCCCCAACGTGTCCCTCGCCGACAGCCAGTGGCACACGCTCGTCCTGGCTGTCTCCGGACACTCCTTCTCGCTGACCGTGGACTGCAGCGTCCCCAAGGATGTGTAGGTCGSGGGGCTCAGCAGGGTGGGCAGGGGGATGTTCCTCCACCGGAACCTCCCCGGGTCACCGGCAGTGCCGTGAAATTGTCCCCRATCTCTTTCCTGCCCGTCCCCAGGGTGGTGGAGACGCCGTTCCCATCCTCGCTGTCGGTGAGGAGAGCCAGCTTCTACCTGGGCAACCGGCGGAGGAGGAAAGGCGTGTTCACAGTAGGTGCCCCGCGGTGTGGGGTRCCCGGGGGTGCCCATAGAGTGACCCACAGCCCTYTCYCAGTCCCTTACGCTRGCAGGGCTTGTGCCGTGGCGCAGGRAGCAGAGGTGGCTGTAGATCCTTCCCCTGAGGAAGGCAGCTGCAGCTCCGAGCCCCTCACAGCAGCTGTTAGATTGCCCCATGAATCCCAGGGCCAATCCTGCAKCCCAGGAGGGAGGGCAACAAGCAGAAGCCAGGCAGGAAATTCAAGGCATGAGTTAGCTGCAGGTCCCATTCTGTGATCTCGATGGGCTCGATCTCCACCCCTCTGCTTTCCCAGGGCTTGCTGAGACAGCTTGTCCTGCTGCCGGGAGCCGATGCCACCCCTCGGATGTGCCGCGCCGTCAACTTCAAAGCAGCGAYGCTCTCTGTCCCCAGTGTCCTGCAGGATGCCCCTGCCAAGCCCGTGAGCAACGAGGTGCTCAAATACCCCTACGGTCAGTGTCCCCACAGCCTCCAGCTCTGTGAGGAAGGGGCTGTGTGTGAGGCTGGGAACCAAGCAGGAGCAGAGGGGAAKAGGATGTTCCCAGCACCCTCTGCTTCCCAATGTGTGTGTATTGGGATCCCTGTCCAAAATCTCCCTGGAGAGATGGGGTGGTCCTGTCTGGGTCCCTTGGCAGAGCTGGGCTCGTGTCAGTGGCCCCACGCACACGGTTTTTCCAGTCTGGCTTCCCAGATTTGTGCTGGGCTCCCATTTCCCCCTTGCCTGGTGCCCATCACCAGGGTGAGACCGGGACACCCCCGCTCCTGCCTCTCGGCCCCTCTGCTCGGTGGGCTGAGAGGCTCCTGTCTTGCTCCTCTCCACGGCCAGAGACAGACATGAAGGTGACGCTGGGGGCCCGTCCACGCTGCTCCAAGCAGCAGAAGGCGCAGTTCTGGTTCAACGCCTCCCGACGAGGGCTCTACCTGTGCAATGGCAGCGCCTGGGTCTCCATGCTGGAAGGTACCGCTGRGGGGAGGGGAAGGGAAGGACACCCTTGCATCAGAGCAGGAGCTGAGATTTGCCCTTGAGACCACTTTGGGATGGGAATCAGCAGGAGAAGGAGAGGTTCAGTGTCCCCCTGTCTCTCCCCTGCTTGGCCAGGCTTTGCTTTGCTCTCAGTGCCCACAACACTCCCAGAACACCTCTGGATCCAGGGTGGTCCATTCACCTTCTCCACATTTTCTGTCCCCCTGGGGATTCTCTGGGCAGGGTGAGCTCGTGCCCTGTCTGAGGGGGAGAGCTCACCCCATGGAGAGCCACGCTCGGGGTGTTGGGRGTGCTCCTTTCCATGGGTTTCCAAAAGGGCTCCTGGTGCCAGAGCACTTGTGGGGTGGGTAAGGGGGAACAGAGACTCAGCAGCAGCCAGAAGCAATGGGGGGTTGGGAGGGTGGCAGACAYAGGTCTCAYTGTCAYYCTGGGACACTTGGTAAGGAYAASAGTGGGAGCACCRAGATGGAAAAAGCMACCAGAGCMTGGSYTGGATGGGGGTTGGTCAATAATGACACGGATTTCACCCACTGGCACTCCAGGCTCTGCCCAGGATCCCTGGAGAGGACATGGAGGATGGGATGTGCCCCTCACTGAACTGTCCTGCCCTTCCCTCCTCTCCCAGCAGTTTTCTTCTGCTGATACCCACGGGGTGGGTTTGGATGAGCCATTTGTTCCTCACTGGAGCAGTAACTGGACCCCGTGTCCTTCCCTACGGATTGGCACCATGTCTCTCTCCCAAGGAGACCTCATGCTGGGATCTTACTGACCTGTGCCCCTTGGTGCCACCAACACCAGCCCTTCTCCTGCATTTTATGCCCTCCAGAGCCCCTTCTCCTGCCTTTTGTGCTTTCCAGAGCCCATCCATCTCTCACTGGGGCCACTCTGGAGGTTTCTGCTCCAATTCCTGGCATTAATACTTGTCTCAGTCCTCTCTAACCTCTCCTCCTGTCATCTCCTCCTTGTTCTCTTGAGGATAAATTCATCAAAGCAATCAAAATCTGTGGCACGGGGTTCTTTGCTGCTCCTGAAGGACACAGCCCTGCCCTCCTCTGGAGAGCAGGCAGGGATGGATGGGGCTGAATGTGCTGCCCATCGGGGCGGAGTCAGGCCTTTACCACCCCTTTGGTGTGGCCCAGTGACACCAGAACCTTCGTTTGCCCCACCGAGCTCTGCACAGCAGCAAATGCTGGGCCCCTCCCCAGCTAAAATCACCTGGTTTTAACCCCATCCCTCTCTTTTTGTGGGCTCCAGTCAAGCACAGGCTGGACTACGTGGAGGAGCACCAGAACCTGGTGACCAACTCGGAGACGATGGGCATCGAGGTGTTCACCATCCCCAGGGTGGGGCTGTTCGCTGCCATGGCCAACMGGGTCACCCCGCCGGGCTCGGCCATCTACCGCTGGACAGACGGCAAGTTTGTGCACTACCAGAACATCCCCACCTCCCAAGCTCAGTCCTGCAAGTTTTTCACCATCGGGAAGAAGGTGAGTGGGCCAGGAAGGTGCCTCCATGTTTCAGTGCATTAAACTGTGGTTGTGTCTCTGAAGCGTGGAGCTTCAGGCACGGTTTAGGGAGGGAATCTCTGTTCTCCTGGCTTTGATGGGGTCATGATGGCACACGTGATTCCAGTGTCTCCAGGGATTCCTGGCTCATCTGGGAACTGCCTGCTCTGTTTATTACTTTGTTGACACACAGGCCACTCCCAGCACCTGGCACAGTAAGAGACTGCATCTCAGAGATCTGCCTGTGATCTTAAAGAGCCATCAGAGCCTGCAGTTCCCTCTCGAGACCCACTGAGTCCAGCCTGCTGCATTCCTAAGCTCTCTTGCTCCTAAATTATTCCAGGACTTCGGAGACACCTCTCCACCCCTGAGCAATCTGCCTTGGGATTGGAGCAGAGCTTTTGCCTGGAAGCTGCTTTGGAGGAGCCCCAGGAAAGCCATCTCTGTGCAGGGATTACTGCCCCTCTGTCATGGTCCCTTGTGGCTTTGTCCCCAGGGGCACTGCAGGGTTCCCCCATTGCCAGCCACGTGCTCCAGGGTGCAGAGGGATGGGCAAAATTTCACCTCCAGGCTTGGTGACACCGACAGCCCTGCTGGCTGGGTACAAACAGGCCAAGTCCCCTGCTGGTGGTGAGAACATGAGGCTGGACACCATCTCTGACAGGGGACAGGGTGGTGGGGACTGTCCCTGATGGTGGGGCTCTGCAGAAGTCTGCTCAAACCCTGGCTGTGGGCTGGGAATGTGCTGGACATCCCCACGCTGCTCTCCATCACTCCAGTGCACCCTCACAGGCAGGAGATGGGAACACTGCTCTCAGGGTGGCTCCCATCAGCTTGGCACGTTTCCTCATGGAGATGGTGGCCACAGAGGTGTCACAGCAGAGCACCCTCGGTACTGGTGTCTCCAGCAGCACGGGTTCCCTGGACACAGGGCAAGTGGGACACATCTGTGTGGGTGTCAGCACTTCGCTCCTGCCCTGGGACCTGCTGCTGCTCCTTGGCTGAACAAAGCCCCAGGCTGGTGCTGGCAGGATCCAGGGGCAGGAGACACCCCCACTGACTCTTTCCTCCTTGTGGGCTGTGGCCCTGTGCCCCTTTGTGGCCCAAACTGGGCCAGGATCTCTGCTGCTCCATCTGCAGGACCCTGGAGCAGCGCAGAGCTGGGATGTGCTCCCTGCCTCACACGTGCACAGGGGTTTCTTAGCCTGGAAAATGTTTTGTCTCAGAGCACTGTCATCATTATTGTCATTGTTATCATTATCACAGCTGCCTTTTTGTGTTCTGAACCACCTTTCCCTGCAGGAGGGTTTGGCAGCTGAACCCCTCTCCTTCCACAGCACGTTTCATGTCCATGCTTCCCATTCCTGGACTGTGAGTGGACACAGCTCAGCTCTCCCTCTGGCCATGGACAATGACCCCCACAGGCCGCTGGGTCCCTGTCACCACTTTGAGCTGCTTGGGGACGGCTCCAGGACCCCAGCCAGGGCCATCTTGTCCCACACCAGCCGCCTCCATCCCTTGCCCTCCATCCCACCTCCCTCTGTGTGTTCATGTCCGTGCTCCTTCAAGAGCAGAAAACCAACCTGTCCTGGCTTTTCCCTTCCCAGATCTTCCTGGCAGTGGCAAACTTTGAGCAGAACGAGAGGGGTCAGGAGTTCTCTGTGATATACAAGTGGAGCCGCAGGAAAGCGAAATTCATCGCGTACCAGCGGATCACCACGCACAGCGCCCGGGACTGGGAGGCCTTTGTCATCGAGGGAGAGGCTTTCCTCGCCGTGGTCAACCACAGAGAAGGTACCCAGCCCTCAGGATTCCGTTCCCTGTGGGTATTGGGGTGATGTCTGGCACTGTGGCAGGTCCCAGATGTCACTCCCTGCTCAGAGCACCCTCCCTGTGTGTGCTGTGGTGGARCAGAGGGCAGGGCAAAGCCAGGGAGGCGCACACAGCTGGGATGTGGAGTCCCTCAGGAAGCTCAAAAAAGCCTTGCAGAGGAGAGAAAAGCTTTTGGGCAAGTGTCTGACACAGCCACCCTCTGGGTTTCTGCCTGCAGGGGACAAGGACAGGAGTGGGGACAGTGTCTGTGCTGAACCTCTCTCCTTGTTTTCATTTTTATCCCAGTACTACATAATCCGGTGGCACCCCAGGCTGAGCTTTTTGTGGAGCCAGATCCTTGTGGGCACCCACAAGGCAGCTCTGGGTACCTGTGAGCTGGGCTGGAATTCCCTGTGTCACTGCTGGTGATCCATCAGGGCCACTCGGGATCAGACCCACCCTGGTGGCTGTCACACCACACCAGGGTCAAGGCCAGGCCAAACTGGGGGTGTTTCCCTTAKAGGGGGCTGGAGGGTCAGTCCCTGAGGAGCTGCCCCTTGTCCATGTGGCCATTTCCATTATTCCTGCAGCCTTTCTGTGCCCCAGTCCCTTCTGCTGCAGTGAGGGTTTAAAACCAGCTGGACCCCAGACAGGCATGGGGGTGGGGTGCTAGAGCAGAGCCCAGGAATTGGATGGGGCACGTGTTTTAGGGCTGGGGGGAAGCCCCCGATGTCCTGAGCTTGGGGACACAGCTGGGACTGGCCACCCTGTGGGACAACTGGCTGAGCCTGGTCACCCTGGGCTGCTGGCACGGTGCCCTGGAGCACTGCTTGTGTGGGGACAAAGCACCTGCCTGGCCCTGCTCTGCCAGGAAAGCTGCCACCAAGCTGCCACCAAGCTGCCACCATGCTCTTGGAACCAGCTGTTGGTGTGTCCCTTGGGATGGAGGCTCCAGGTAGGAATGGAGGCTCCAGGTAGAGATGGAGGCACGAGGTCTAGAGGAGGGGGGTCTTTCGGTGAGGATGGTGGCTGTAGAATCACTTTGGCTGCTTCTTGGGGGGCAACAGGTCACTTGCAATCAGCCTGGTGACCTGCTGGCACATGCTCACACACCTGAGAGCATTTCTGGGTTTGGTTTCCTACACAAACCGAGCGTTCCTTTCCCTCACGGAGCACATCTGTCTGTCTGTCCCCTCCAGGGAACAACCACAACATCRACAGTGTGATATACAGGTGGAACCCCAGGACAGGGCTGTTTGAAGCCAACCAGACCATTCCTACCTCGGGAGCCTACGACTGGGAGTTTTTCACCATCGGGCCCTACTCCTTCCTGGCTGTGGCYAACACCTTCAATGGCACATCCACCAGGATCTACTCCCACATCTACATCTGGCTCAGTGGCTCTTTCCAGCTCTTCCAGTCCATCCTGGTAAGGTTTGCACACTTCAGTCCCTTCTGGGTTTAGACAGGGCAGCCATGTCCAGTTTGTCATGGTCTCCTTCCCCGCAGACGTTTGGCGCTGCCGACTGGGAGGTTTTCCACATTGGGGACAGAGTGTTCCTGGCCGTAGCCAACAGCCACAGCTACGACAGTGGGATGCCAGAACCCTCCAACTTCTAYGCCATCAACTCCTCCATCTACGAGCTGAACATCACGGCCCAGATGTTTGTTAAATTCCAGGAYCTTCTCACCTACAGGTACCTGGGCAAGGGTTTGGGATTCTCCTCAGTTCACATCCTTTTCCTGAGCGACGCAGAGATCTCGTAGAATCACAGAGTCCCATATTGGTTTGGGTTGGAAAGGAAAGTCCATCTCATTCCATGGGCAGGGACAGGGACACCTTCCACTATCCCAGGTTGCTCCAAGCCCTGTCCAGCCTGGTCTTGGACACTGCCAGCAATGGAACAGCCACAGCTTCTCTGTGCACCCTGTGCCAGGGCCTCTCTTCTTTTAGCCTAAAACTGTACTCACTGGTCTCCTGGAGGCTTCCTGCAGGCTTTCACACTCCCAGGGACCGACACCAGTGGGGAGGATGATGAGTGATGGCTCCTTGGCACCACATCCCTGTGGGAGCTGGGAGATGGCCCTGAATTTAGGAATGAAGATTAATTTCTTTTGGGAATGAGCTGGGAAGAGCAGGGTTCTCTGTGTGTCACCAGGGTGTCAGAGATTGGGGTGGGGCAGGCTCAGCCCYATGGACACACAGCCCYCCYTYRA